GCAGGAAAAGTATGGAACAGTAAGGAAAAAAGCCTTCACACACAAGCAATGAAACGTAAGGGAAAGCAAAACAAGCACAGAAAAGCAGAAAAAGCAAGAAGAACGGGAGCAACCACAGAAAAGCATTGAGAAGCAAGGACAAGCAAGAAAAGCAGGAGAGGTCATATTAGAAAGGAAAAGCAAGCAAAGCAGTAAGCAGCAAGAAGAAAATCACCAAAAAAGTCACCAAACTCAACAAAAAAGATTTCCCCCCAAAACTAGCCCTCCGAAACAGAGTATGTCCTTTTCGGGTCACCTAAAGAACACTTAAAAAACACTCTTGGTCTCAGGGACAATCATTATATACCTGGGAGTGATAAGTAATGGAATTCTATGTGATGGGAGTGATATACCCAGGGTCAATCATTAGTAATTACACTTAAAGGGGCTTATATTTAACACATTCACCTATAAGTGATAGAATTCTGTCTGCCAAGGACATCGACTGCGACTTACTGCTTCAACATCACACTGGTCCATCATCGACCGCGACCACGACTTCGAAACCAAGTGACGTGGCCACTGGTCGGCCCAAAGGGTACCAGGACTGGTGGTCAAACCACGTGAAGAACCTGCCGGCCAGGGTCGCCAGCCGAAGAAAAGGCTAAAGGCCACCTATCATACCCAGGAGGGTGCACAAAGCATCACCCGGATCAAATAAACAACAACGTCCGGTAAGTTAAACATATACATATCATTAGACGAACTTAAACATGACTGACTGAAAGACTATGTTCCTCTGCAAACAAATGCTTTTCAGGTTCTTTACTTAACTTCTAACTATAAGTTATTACAGTATATTACAGTAACTTACCACTAGGATCATTGCAAGAAATTCAAGTTCTAATATACCTCAACAAGTCTGTTTGTTTATAACTGTAAGTGGGACTCTTGCACCCCATGCAAAAACGTCCGGCATGGGAGACGCGAACTGCGCCCTGGAGCCATGGAAGGTTGGCACTCAGCACGTTCCGTGGACAGTGAAGATCCCTACATATCCCTACTTTATCCTACTTTGACATCCACGGAATATCCCCACTTGGAAACTTCGCAAAACTTCATGAACATCCCCACCTTTGCTCCTACAAATGCTGGCGGGCCACTTGTTCCAGCCGTGCTGCGCCAAATATTCCGTGGCTCGGTAGTTGAACCAGGGATCGAACTCATGGATGATCGGTCCATAGTCCTGTGCTTTGCATCGAAGAGTGCAACGCGCAAGAAGGACATACTAGTATGGGACAGGAAAAGAATGGAAAAGGCATCATAGACCCCGTGGACATGACCCTGGATCATCCAATGGATGTCCAATAGGTTACGTGGTTTGGGGGGTCAATGTAGGCAAATATGGCAGTCCCATGGAGCGTCTGGGCATTGGACACCCGGATGATCCAATTGGATGGTCGCAAAACAACAATTAGCAGAATTGGAATGTCTGGGCTACAAGCAATGTCTTTCTGAGCAATATTGGGGTTGTTGGGCGAGAGGATGTTGGTGAGGAAGCTGGTGACAGTGGGATGTCATTGGTGACAGTGTTGTCGAGTGGCAGCTGGATTCTAGGGGGTTTCCCAAAGCAAGGCCATTGGGCCATTGGATTATTCACAGGAAAGGTCATAGAATCTTAGCTTGTGAATTGTCATGAATGATCTACTTCCCCAAACCCGAACGACACACCAAAACGAAAAGAAATTTAAACACTTCCGAACGACTTATCTCTGGTTGAGATGTCGTCTATAGGGGTCGCTATAGCAGGATGCGAGTCTTGGACGACGTTCATGGAACCATGAAACGAGTACACCACGAGCACTGAGCACAACGACGCAATCAATTTATACAAAAAAATAAGTGTGCCGACTCTAGGATGACCAACTAGGTGAGAAAACATCTTGCTACCCTAGCCTTCCAAGACCATGAAAAAACAGGTTAACCTGGTTTTGCAGTGTAAGCAATGATTGGTAAAGGCAATGAAATCCAATGATTAGTGGTTAGAATCCTGGGGTTTGATTCACCATTTACTGCACCTTACCCAACCCCTGACTTCCGTCTATTGAACCCCAAACTGCCCCAGTCACAGCGCCCCCCAAAAAAAACACACACACACACAAAAAAAAACAGAAACCTCCGCGGACCAACGTGCGAACGTCGCCGGGCGCAGGTCCTTGATGGCCCACAAGCGGATGTCATAGGCCCGATATCCCGCCTGCCGTTCTGACGCGGGTCCTTCGAGCCTGGCATTAACCTACCTCGCTCTGGCATTGGATCGGTCGTGTTTTGTCGTTTATATATATATATATTTCGTTTGACTTTTAAATAGAGTCCAAAAAAGAGTCATGGATTTGGGGCTTGCTGGTTAGTATGTGTGTTGTCTTGGTATTCCGACTGAAGAACCCATTGTTGTTTAAAGTTTCTCTGGATCCCTTCAAGTCCTCCCAACCCTCCAAGTCCTCCAAACTTTCCGAGCAACATACCATTAAGATCAGAACGAATGCAAGCAAATCAAATACTGCTGGAATCAATAGGAATCTAATGGAATCTATATAATTGAATATACGTACTTCCAAATCAACATCAAAAGGGCATCGTCATCAGCATACTGAGTTCTACAAGGCTCATCCCGTTGACCATCAGAAGGGTGGTTACATATGGTATCAAACGTAGACTGCTCTCAGGAATTCTGCCATGCATACTATGTATCATCAATTGCATGACCCCGCTACGTGGCGCTCTCCTCGGCCTCGAGCAACAAGCCAATCAGAACCACCCAGAGAAGCACTCTCCAGGCCAGCGCCGCAGCCCCGGCGCCGCTCAATGGCCCCGTACCACCCTCGGTCCGGTTCGGCTGAGATGGTCGTGTCGATGCTGGGTAGACAGAGCTGGAAACTGAAACTGTGAAATTGTGAAACATCGTAGAACTCTATAGTCACTATACCCAAACCATAATATATGGATATGGATATATAATCATATATATAATATATGGAATAGTTATACAATTGCCTACATGATCCGACATGGATGGGTCAGTCAATGTACAACTGTAACTCTTGGAATAGGACCTTGATGGTCTGAGTCCATCTCGGCCCATTTTCCTAAGACCGGCACCATCGATGCTCGACAGCAGCACTCAGCGCGCTGAAGCACTCAGCATGGCCAGCATGGCTCATGGAAGGCGGTGACGGTGAAGTCAGAAAGAAAGCGTTGGCGGAGACTGTTTAAGTCGACTTGGCGTAGACCTGACAAAAGTGTTTGACTGTCATGGTCCCGATGGACTGTCGTTGGAGCAGTGTTTAAGTCATTTGTCTTCTCAAATGGGATGTTTGCAGCCTATGGTCTTTCTTCTCCCTGGTGTTTGTACTTTCCCAGGTTTGGAGGGATCCTGGGTTCTTTCCCAGGTTTCGCAGGAAATAGTATCGTTGATTCGTTCTATTGGTCTTCTATTTGTCTTCTAAGGTGGAGCAACTTTCCAAACCTTGTGTCTTCAGCCTTGGGCATCACTCTGCTTGTGTTCCAAAGCCATTTCTGCTCACTCAAACCATTGAACTGCAGCTGTAATTATGAGATGCCAGCTTCTTGATCGTTTAGAGTGATTCTTCGCAGCAGGGCTTCAGACTCTCATTTGATGAACTTTATGTTCCAGGATTATCCCGAGATGATCCATTGGCCCACACAATCGAACAGGTCATCGAGAGAGGGAACGAAAGTGATTATAATCCAGCAGTCACAAAGGGGTGCTTAATGGAGGTTAGGGATGCCTATTGTCCACTCACTTAGGGACTAAAAACCACCCCGACATGTGACTCCTGGAAGAAACACACGTTTCCGGACTGAACATCTGGTCGGAAGGCACCGATGGGCTCTGTCCACTTGAGTACTCAAGTGATTTTGGAATATGTTGGATGCGCGACCCATCCGAGACAAACCACGTCATGTTCTTTTTGGTTGTACCTTTTTGGCACCTTGCGACCATCTCAGCTTGCTTGGGACGATCCATTCAGATTTGGGACTGTCCCACAGTACCAATCCCCATGGTGTCGAGGGCGTCACCGCTGGAGCTCTTTGGCCCTCTTGATCAGCCAAACGCTCGGAGCTGAGGCCCCGATGGATTGGACGGAGGACAAGAAATCAGTTTGTCTGAAGGAAACTATGGGACTCACGTCATGTTCACACCATGCAGGGCAGGGTCGGGAATCCAGTGGCATCATTCAACATGCAAGAACGTTGCTCGGACCCATGCAACATGTTGGTGGGCCGCTCTCAGAGCCATCGAAACCTGCTGTCATTTACCCCAATCCCATTCACCAAAGGAAGGCCAAAACCAATCAACCGGATCTCAGGGCCTCACAGGGTCAACGTCTTTTGCGTTCGCTCCTCACTGTCGGACACCTCCTTTCCATCGGGTCCTTCCTGGACACCGGGTCCACTGCTTCCAGACTATACCAGCCAAGACCCGGTGAGACATGGGTCTTGCCCGCTGTCTGAAAGGAACGAAGGGTCGGTCGAGTGGTTCTGCAGGGTGGACGAAGGGTCGATCTAGAGATCTGTAGCAACAAGAACACCATGGCAACATGGAGATTCTGGCCGCAAAGGTATAAGTTATAAGGGTATATATAAGGGAGGGAGAACCCATGACTACCTTGTCTTCTTGTACACCGATCTGCATGTCATGCTGCTCCAGGTTGCTGAGATCCTGCCAAAGGAGTATATCCGGTACCAAATATATGCAAATATTATATATGGGTCTATGATGGTTTGTGGTCCGTCACGTAGTTTGCAGTATATCTGACTTCTGCCATATCGTGCCAAATACATGGGTTTATGATGATCCTTTCGTGGAGTCTGGGCCAACAAAAAGCCTTGTAACTTTATTATGTTTGGATCTTTATGTGAAGATTTGCCACAAAGACAGGTATGTTAAAGGACAGTTTGTCGCACTTACTTCTATCATCTTCTATCCATTCCCAAGGTCAATCGGGAAGAGGCCAAGCTTCCCTGGAAGCATCATTGGTAGATGCCAGCACTCCGAGCAAACGCTTCTGGCTCCACTCAACAAACCTAGCTGCCGGTGTTGCATCATCAGGGCTGCGATGAGGAGAGATGGGGCAAAAAGACTCCTAAAAGTTGCCTAAAAGTCTATATAGTCACACTAGGTCCTTCCGAATCCTGGACAACTTGTGACCATAGCAGCTCTGAAATGTGGTCCAATCTTCGCATGTTCAGGCAGGACAGTGCACAAATGATCTTTTTGAGGTGCATGCGTTGCAGTCATGGGTGCTTGTTCATGCTTGGATTTCGGCACATCGCAGTATATATTGATATAGTATATTCCATGACAAAGGTCTCAACAAGAAGTGAACTCCCAATTGTCACGTCCGCTCCTAATTGTCATGCCTCTTCTACCGCCGGGGGTGTCATCAGCGAGTCTCGTTTCAAGACCGACATGATTTGAAGCGAGACCTTCGCACCCTCGCCCTGCCATGACCCACCCGTCGCCCTGCCCATGACGCCGCGCGGATGACGCCGCCGGCGAATCGGTACGCGACCGAACGGCGCGCGTGGTCTGGGCGCCCCCGAACTCATCCTCGGCCATGGATGTGGTGGACTTGACACCCATCCCGCAGCGCCTCGTGGACGTCGGAGCACCACAGCGGGGTGGACGTGGACGTCGGAGCGCGCGAGACGTCCAGCGCGAGTAGCGCGAGACGTGGCGAGGTCGGCGCGAGGGATAAGGGCGTTCGGGCGGTTGTTTGGGGATCGGCGTTTAAGAGGCGTAGGATGGACCCGTGCATGGCGATGAATGGTTGTAGGGTCTCCTGAGGCCGGGTGGTTCAGCATGGAGGCCGTAGCCTCCAGCCACAGACTCAATTGTAACAGCGGTATTCCGTGCTCTTCCCTTCTCTTCCCTTCCGCCGAGCCCCAAAGAATGCATGCTTTAAAAGCTGGGACTCCTGCAGAAAAACCTTGCGAGGCGTCGACACTGGGGGTCCCCACCGTGCCACTTGCACGGCCAACCAATGTTTACAGCACAGCTCCCCAGCCTGAGAGCAGTGCACAGATCTGGAAGATGACGACGCCATGGGGAGGACGCGAGCGGGTTTTTGGTGGATGGAGAGTATGTAGATGGCACAAGGTACCCTATAAGGTTTGGAGGCTTGGGTTGTGCTATCTACTCTGAAACAGCTGTACAGTATTCATTGAGACTTAGCCTGCGTTGAGGAATCATCATTGAGTGTGAGCCAAACCCAACATCTGATCTTACAACTAACACCAGAACACTTTCCTGCCAAAGGCACCTAAACAATCGTGTTGCATGTTCTTTATCTTGGAAACAGGTCTTGTGTCTCTTTAGAGGTGCTGCTGACAATTGGACATCAAGAACTTGGGGAGCCTATAGATCCTATACGTCCTATAGATTCCTATATTATATATCTTCTGACAAACTGCCTCAGCACCACCCCCACACGTGTGCCCTTTAAGGCAACCTGGGAAGGGGAGTCGCGCGGTCTCCTGCAGGGTCACGTGTCATCCCACACGGTGACGCGCCGTCGGGCGTCGCCCCCCACACGCCGCCTCCACCACGCGGCGCGAAAAGTAGGGACCTCGCAACAGCAAGGACAGCCAGCATGTTTTGCCACTCTGGCTTCGAGTGCCCTCCTTCGAGATGCTCCCCTGCACAGTTTTGTATGGAAGGTATCCTTATCCCTCCTTATCCAAAAAAGAAACACCTGACCTGTGTTAAGCTTGAAACAGAAAGCAACAGGGCCTAGTCACAACGGTCAGCTCAATCAACTCTGTAGCTTCTCAATTGTGCACGCTGTTACGAATGGCCGCTTTTCTCTGCGCTTTTGGCCATGAAGTCCCACAATTCCACTTCGTGTGGAACGCCCGCGGTCCACGCTTTGTCCTCGGGCAACCGCCGGTTTGGTGCAAACGAAGGATCAAGCAAGTCATTCAGAGGCCTCACTTTTTGGGGGGGCATCTTCTTCCGGGTAGCCACGTGTGGATCGGGAAACACCATTGAAAGTCTAAACGACATCAATATAATGGTGGGCCGGGAAGCCAGGCTATGTTGCTTTACATTGTTTTTACAAGGTTTTTCCTGTGTAGCTTGGTTCCTGCTCAACAAGCCTTCTCCTTCCACACAGGGTGGCATGCGCTGCTCGGTCCTCTTGGGGTCCGAAAGACCCAAACACTCCATATAGTACTCCATATATTATATATA